ATGTCAGAAAAGGTTTATCACTAATGCAGCTTGGTTTACAATATGCCGTTCATACCAGCTTCTCATTTTAGAACCGAAACACATGTCGTGTAGCAAAATTAAGGAGATGCTCTGAATAGCGATAATCTAAGTAGGTCTCTGATAAGGAAAAGGAAGTACCGTCCATTGTAAATTACTTCGGTTGCGATCCCTTTTCGTAGTTGTTGCCTTTTCGTCACTGCCTCTAGGAAAAGGCTGGATTTATGGAGCTTCAAGTACCTTATGAATTTCATAAATTACTTTGCATCTCAATGTTCGAAGTATTATTCGAAGTGAGGTCAAATGCTCTGCAAAGCAATGGTTTCTCGGCTCTCTTGAAGACAGATCAAGTGTGACTTGAAACGCGAGTGATTTTGTATATAATATTATATACACTTGTCATATAATATTCGCTAAACAATTTCAACAAATTTGAGCTGTAATTCTGAATGAAAGATTCAACTATGACTTTGAAAGTTATGTATATTTAAACGTTCATGTGTTCAGTCTTGCTATATATCCATGCATGCTGTGTGTTATTTATATGGCTTCCTTCCGGTGAAGGACAGTGCAGTCCTCTGTTCGGACTAGAGATCATGTGGTGCCAAATTTCACGACTTATGCGACCCTCACGACCTCATGTTCATTTCTAAATTTTATCCACCGATTGTCCACTAACGCCAAGCATAGAACTTTATAGTAATGTCTGTTCATGTGATAGCACTATGTTTTCTGCACTGTGTAGACGTGGATCTGAGGGGTGGTGGTATATTTCTGGACCATATGCTAAAACCGAACGGCAGGTTACGTTGTCGAAGCTTGCAGTGTTGCTTTGCTTCTTTACAACTGCATGTTGAATGTTTAGGCTGCCTAGCCGACAATATTAAACTTTATAACGTAAGCGAAAGTTGGCGAAAGGATGAGTGCACTACGTGTAGTTGCGTGGAAGACGGCACGGTGGTATGTCAGGTGCAGGTGTGCAGTGATGACTGCGAGAATCCGGTATACGTCGACAACCAGTGCTGTCCGACGTGTGCAAGTAACGAAACTGACTACATATGGTCGCTGGCCATATATAACTGATCGCTGATGCTTTGCAGACGCCGGTCTCAGGGCATATCTACCAACACAATGCCTGAGCATGGAATTGTGCTCGTTGGTATGTGAACATGGTTTAAAAAGTGATAACAACGGATGTTTAATCTGCGAGTGTGAAAACTGTAAACTTTCGCACTTTACACCAACGCTTAACGCCACTGATCAAATGATTTGTTTGCAGATTTCGCAGAGGAGCCTGTTACCGTTGACACCGACTCCGATCCAAAGAAGCAAGCCACCGGCAGCTCAAACTGTACTGAATTTGACCTGGCAACGTGTACCAAGAAATGTGCGCATGGTTACGAGCACGACAGCAATAACT